TGCAGCCGGTACCTTGGCCCTGCTCAGCAGCTCGGCGACCAGGCGGAGCGACTGCAGGTTGCGCTGCGCCAGCAGCAGCTTGCGCTCCTCCAGGCGGATCTTCTCCTGCAGCTGCCGCTGCTCCTCCGCCTGCAGCTTCTCCAGCTTCTTCTGGCTGCGCCGCGACTCGCGCTCCCGCTGCTTCTGCTCGCGCTTGCGCAGCTTCTCTTCCCGCTTGCGCTCCCGCTCCAGCTCCTCCAGCGCCTTCTGCTTCCTGCGGGGAGCGGGGGCTGCTGGGGCCGCTGCACAGACCCGGAGCAGGGGCGAGGGTGGGGAGGGACCCCGGGGAGCGGGGGCACTAGGGAGGGCGCACCCAGTCTGGCAAGGGGGGGCCCAGCCCACACCAGGGGCACCTGGGGCCCAGGCCAGCCGCTCACTCCTGCGGTCGCCCTCTGAAACAGGGCACCTTCCGCACGGGCTCTCGGCCACCGCGGAGACAAGACAGAGGGTCCAAAGGGAAGTGAGGCACAAGCCCGCCCGTCTAGTACCAGGTGGCCAGCAAGACCACGGGGCGCACCCCGCCCCAGCCGTCCAGCAGAAGCACAGGTTTGTGCTGACAGGACACAGCTCCCTGTCACCTGGGCTTGGGCAGAGGCGGCAGCCCCCGGGCTGCTCAGGAGGAAGAGGCAGAGGGCAGGACCCCCGAATACCCCAGGAGACCGTCCGAGCGCCAGGTGGAGAAGAAGGCAAGAGGCCCGCAGGTGCACAGCCACCTGGGGACGAGGCCCCAACAAAAGCCAGGTCACCAGGACAGAGGAACACTGACACGAGCCTGGACCCGACAGAAGGCTGCAGAGCCGGGGAGGGACTCCTCCTGTCCCCTCCCACTGTTGGCATCGAGGGGACAGTGACCACTGCAGACTCCATCAAACTGCACCCTGCACACCGGCTAGCGGTGCGGCCACCCGCCCCAGCAGCCCGCAGCTGGTCAGCCAGGCCCTGGGGCAGCCCTCGGAGCCCTGCTTTCAATGGCCCTGGGGATGGGGACACTGCAGGAGGCCCCTGGTCTCAGCCAGGCAGAACCCAGGGGACTGCTGGGAGCAGAGGGCTCCCCACAGGCTGTCCTGCAGGACCCCAGAGACCCTGGCGGTCCCCACAGCAAGTCCCCAGAGCCTCGGCAGGCAGGACCACCAGGACCCTGGCCCCCGAGAGCAGGACCAGGTGCACAGAGGGACGCAGGCTCCCCAGAGGACGGGGGGACCGACGACCAGTTCATCGCACCTCCGCCTGCCTTCAAATTCCCCAACCAGCTGCGTGGACGGGCCCAGGCAGACCGTCCACAGGCCACGAGCGGACACCCACTGAGTGCCCCCAGCCCAGAGACGTGGCAGAGCCACGAGACGGGCCCCAGGAGCTGAGAAGGGTCCCTGCTCCCAGCAAGGGGTGGGCACAGCACCAAGGTCAGGAGGGACCAAGGGGCAGGAGCAGCCACGGGAGCCATCGCACCCAGAGGTCCCCATGCCACCCGGGCAGGGTCACAGCAGTCCCTGGAGGTCCTGCGGATGGCTGCTGCCTGCCAGGGTCCCAACCTGGTCACCCAGTGAGCAGCAAGTCTCACGTCCTTGTTGACTTGACTCCCACCGTGCAGTCGCGGGGGCCTCCTGGGCCCACTCCCCACTCGGGGCCAGAGGAGAAGCTGTGGGGTGCTCTGCCGCCCCCTAGGCCAGCTCGCCCCTCGCCCTGGCCTGCCTCTCCCCAGCCGGGCTCCACAGGGCGCCCCTCACCCTCTGCCTCCTGTCCCCCAAACACACGCCCCCTCCCCACCGGGCTGTCTGCCATCTCCCCAGGCCCCCCATCTGGTGAGGGGACAGAGGCCCAGCTCTGGTCATGACACATCCGAGCTGCTTTCGGGAACACCTGCGACCTCCTGCCACATGAGGAGGCCAGCGGGAGGACCACAGCCTCCGGCTACAAGAACAGGCGCCGGGCACAGGAGACCAGAGCCTGTGGTACTGCTGCCACCCGAGCCCTGCCCTGCCTCCAGGCTCTGTCCCAGACGCAGGACGCCAGGCCCCGCGGTCACCCTAAGATCCAGAGCACCTGTCACTCAACTCCAGCTCCGCCAAGGACAGCTGGGCCCAAGCACACTGCGGCCTCCCCCGGCGTTGTCGCCTCCGCCCACGGGGCTTGTCCCCAAGGCTGGGGGGGCAGCTCAAGATCCCTGGGGTCACACAGGATGCACCCACTGTAGAACCTAGGGCTGGGGCCGCTGGGCACGCGTGCGGCACCGCCCACTCACGCACACCCACGCAGAGCCCGCGAGCACCTGAGAAACCAGGGGAACAGTGGCCGACGGCGGGGAAGAGCCCCACCCCGTGGGCAGCGCGCTCAAGGGCCAGCAGCAGGGCGCGCGGCGCCACAGAGGAACCGCAGCTCGTGGTGGGCAGTGGACCTGTCCCCGCCCGAGCTGCACGGAACTGCGCCCACGTCACGGCCAGTGCTGTCCCACAGCGGCAAGCGGCCCGGCCCGGGTCGCCCTGTCAGCCCCACGACAGCCAGAGACCCCAACGCCTGCTCCGTGGCCCACATCCCCCCACCTCTGGTGGCACCCGCAGTCCCCACCCACGGCACGCGCTGGTTCTGGGCCGCAGTAGGGTCCCAGCCTCAGGAGGCACAGCCCGGGGTCCGCAGACGTCCCTCCCACGGACGCTGGCCAGCAGGGGCAGGGCAGGGCAGGGAGGCGCTCGCCTACGGTGGGCCACGCTCACGCACAGCCACCGTGCACGCAGGCCTCCAGAGGCACGCTCAGGACACGCAAGCACGCACGGGAGGCAGCATGGCACGCACGCTCGGGGCACGCGCACGCTCGGGGCACGCGCACGCTCGGGGCACGCGCACGCTCGGGGCACGCGCACGCTCGGGGCACGCGCACGCAGGCCCGCATACCTCTCCTCGGCGCGCTGCCGCTCCTCCGCCTCCTTCTCGCGGCGCTTCTGCGCCTCGCGCTGCCGCTCCAGCTCCTGCAGCTTCTGCCGCTCCAGCTGCCGCTTCTTGATGGAGGCGTCGCTCAGGTGCTTGGTGGAGTCGAAGGAGACCTTGAAGCAGGACATGGGCCGTGGCGGTCTCCGCAGACACCTGCTGCCCTGGGGACCAGCCGAGCGACCTGGGCCCTGCCCACAGGGCGCGCCACCCCACAGTGGTGTCCCTCGGCGAGGCAGCGCGGCCCCCAGGAAGCCACAGCCCACCGTGCCTCTGCGCCTGCCCCCGGGGACTGCTGCCCTCCGGGGACTGCGGGCCAGCTTGCCGGCACCGTGTGGCACCCCCTCCCTGGCCAGGCCACCCTCCCCTTCAGCACAGCCATCAAGCGGGCCTCGTGCGAGCACTGTCACCAAAGCCCTGCTCTGGGGCACGTCCGCGGAGTCCGGGGTGTCCAGGCTGGAACCCGGTGTGAGGGACCCCTGGGAGCAGCAGGCGCCCCGTCTCCCTGGTTCAGTCCCCCTGCATGGCCCCCCTGCTGGACCCCCGCTGCAGGGCTGTCGGGGCCCGGGGCTGGCGTCTGGGAGCCGCGCCCACCTTGATGTTGCAGGCCACGGCCTTGCCGTCGTCGCCCTTGAACATGAGCTTCATGCCGCGCAGCGCGCTCATGGCCTGGATGAAGCCCACGTACTCGCGGTACTGCACGTAGGCCTCGAAGTTGAGGTGGCCCCCGAAACTGAAGGTGTGGAAGTTGCGCCCGGTCATCTCCTCGCGGTAGGGGTCCAGCATGGGGATGTCCACGTTGCGGATCTCCCCGAACTTCTCGAACACCTTCACCAGCACCTCCTCGCTGGGCTTCTCCGAGCCCGACTCCTTCTGCGCGAACCACTTGCAGGGCAGCCCCTCCAGGTGGATGGTGTCCGGCCGCTCGCCGGGCAGCGTCTCGTTCATGTCCTTGGCGTCGCGGAAGAAGGAGTCCCAGTCGTGGCGCGTGGGGAAGTCGATCTTGAACTCGGCGGCGCGCACCTTGAGGATGTCGGAGAAGCCGCTGAGCTTGATGGTCTTGCCGTCCAGGCAGGCCAGGAAGGACCGCACCAGGCTGCGGTTCTCCACCTCGCCCTCGAAGCGGATGAAGTCCATGGTGCTCTTGGAGATGCGCAGCGTCGAGAACTGGTGGTGCTGCACCATGCCCTTGAGCCGCTCCATCACCTCCCAGTTGGAGATGGACTTGCCCGGCTGCTTGAGCTGCGGCAGAGCCACGCTGATGGTCATCTTGGTGATGGGCTTGAGGTACAGGCCGTAGGAGGGGCACAGCTCCACGGCCTCAGACGTGTCGTGCACGATGGTAGCCGCGGCCATAGCCGGGACCTGGGGCCTGAAACGCAGAGCGCAGGTCAGCGCAAGGCCAGGGCCGAGGGGACCCAGCGCTCAATTCAGACCAGGGAGCAGAGACGGCGGCCCTCCCTGGTCAGGGGCCTTCCTCTGCTGAGAAGGACCTGCGTACTGACTGAGTCCCCAAGAGTGGGACCCGAAGGGGAAGACACTGGCCTTCAGAGGCTCTCCACGGAAAGTGAGGACCCTCGCTCGGCCTCCAGGACTGGGCACCTGCCCCGGCTCCCCAGGATGAACATGACCAGTCCCCCAGTCGCCGGCGCAGTAGGCAGGGGCAAGCCGGACAGGCCGACTCCACGGGAAGGTGCAGAGGACACCAGGGGGAGGAAGGGACAGAGAGCCCTGGGCTCCCGCCACTGGGAAGGAGGTGGCCCTGTATGTGGTTTGATGACAGAGAAGTCAGAGGAAACGACCCGGAACACGGACCCTGAGGGCTCACTGTGGGCAG